TCATCTATTCAGGACTTTCTAATGCTAAGGGAACTCGTCTCGGAACCTCCGTAGCGCTCCTAGCTCCTAACCCTAATTTTGACCTGACTTGACCACATATAGTTTTGATGCAGTCACTCAAAAATGACTCATTTTTTGTGCTAAAGATAAAGTGCACGGTGTAATTACGCCACTAATATAGTGTAGCCACGCCAGAACGCTGTCGTGACCACGTCCAATTTTGACCAAATTTGGCTTGGTCACCAAAAAATGACATATTTTTATGCTCAAGACAAAGAGCACAAGGTAATTATGCCACTAATGCGGTAGGACACTTGCTCACAACATAAAATAGTCCTAAAATCGATGGCAAAACCGACCACCTACGTTTGTGCCGTAAAAAATGTTCAATTTTTCTGACGGCGTGGTGGCGATTTATGATCTGAGTTATTAATTATAATAAATATTAAATTTTAACTGACGACCATATTGTGTCGATTACCCATAAATCTGTCATTTGGCGGGGTGCTAACCGATATATTTTTTTAATAAGCAACCGAATTATCTATCGATAATAATGTAATTTACAAACGCTCGAGCAATATTTATGTTTGGGTCATTTTTCACGAGATAACTGCAGAATGTTCGTCGCCCATTAACAACAATATTTTCTCCAACAATTTTTTTTTTATATTTCTAATGCAATAAGTCATAATTTCATAAATGGAATAAGAAAATGTTGAAAGAGAATATTCTAATTATTTTGCTCATTATATATATTAAAATTAATGGGACAACTTTAAAATAATAAATCATATTATATCCATCTCAAAATAAACTAAAAATTTTGAATTAATATGAACATTTTTTGTCAATCTATTTCGATACAATTTTTTTTTCAAAATAATTCATCTCAAATCACTAATGAATCCTAAAATTATAACCCATTTTTTACAAGATTTATCTGTTCTGCCACGTGGTGGCACGAGATGCCCACGTTCTGGCAGGCAAAAGACACGTGGCATGACTGATGGCAGGCGACTGCCTGCAGGCGTGGCAAGGAAAAATTACGCGAAAGCAGTCAGGTACGATACAATACAGGCTCTCGGCCCATAGCATATGCATTACAATGCGGCCCATTTGTTGTTTGGAGAACATGTTGATGCAGTACCAGTCCGGTTAGAGATTATTGTCCTGATTAATGGTTTCTATATTTGGAATTATCCTCGGACTACTTTCCTATCGCCCGAGGCATGCATCAATAATTCTCATTATAATCTAATATTTTATTTTAAATAATAGAAATATATTCCAACAAAATAAATTATAATAATAAATCAAATTAAATCAATTCAAATCATATAAATCAAGGATGCGCCGATGAATCGTGAAGAGATCTGAAGGCCCATAATGGAGTAAGTACAACAAAAGATAGCTCACCGACAAAAAATCAAGAGGCCCCAGCTATCCAATTAGATATAGTCATCTGAGCTAAAGAAGAAGGCTAATCGAATCAATAGAAGGATAAAAAGAATGATCCCAAGTCTAAGACAATCGAACGAAGTGAGACCAATAAGCAACAGAGCGGAAAAAAATCAAGCATAGGCATCTAACTATCTCCTGACAAGTTCGAACTCATAAGAGAATCCAGTTTCTCGTCATCACCAGGTGTCCCGAGAACGCCCTCAAGGTTCCTCATTATGACCAATATTTTATAAGACACCCGAGTCTCACAATCACATCCCGAATGACTCTCTCGTAAAAAAAAAAAAAAAAGAATTATCCATCAAGTTATATTGATTTGACATTTGCATGATAATTTGGTCTAATTCTATCAACAACAGCACATCGTCAAGCTAGGAATCAAAAGTCAACAATCAAACTAGATCAACTGATCGACTAAGTTCAGCAGACAGAGTTAACTCCACTGACCTAAAGCCAATCAAGATCGGCCAACCGAATATACCAACTTCGCCCAGCCTACCAAATCAGTCTTATCGAGCAGAAGTCATGCTAGCCCAACCGATCAAATCATGGAGCAGTCGAACAATAGACTCATACATATAAAATGTCTATAATATCACATATAAGATTCTCTCTCCAATAAATAAAAATATCATTTTATCAAAATAAGTTAATTAAAAAGACATGTTACTATTCATTTACATTTCATTTCTCTTAATCCGTGTACTCTCCCTCTTTCTCATCTTTCCTGCATTGTAAGCTCTAACCCTTTGAATCTGATTCAAAAATAAACCTGAATTCAACGTATTACAATTTATTGAATCATATAATTGAGGGATGATGTTATTTCTATTGTTCCAATAAAATTTATAGTATCAAGAAGAATTGGATCCAGGACTTCACTAAGTGCAATAAAGGGACTTTGCCTTTTACTTATCTAGGCTTCAATCTAAATAAAGGTAAAAGAAAAGTTCATCTTTTTGATAATCTTATTTAAAAGATCAATAACAAAATCATGTCCTGGGATAACCTTCTTCTATCTTTTGGTGGTAAGATTACTCTTCTTAAAAGTATTCATACTTCTTTACCTTTATATACGTTACTTTTCATAAAAATTCCTAATTGTTTAATTAAAAAAATTGAGAGCAGTTTTAATAAATTTCTTTGGGCCGGTAAAGATTCTAAACTTCATTGGATGAGTTGGAAGAAAATGTGCAAATCAATTCATAATAGAGGTTTGGGATTTAGAAGCATTACAAAATTTATGCACATCAACTACATGAAGCTTTGGTTTCATTTTCGTAAAAGTAACTCTATTTGGTCCAATTTATTGAGGACTAAATATTGTGGTAACTCTCATCATCTTTCTATTACTTCTAAACCTAATTATTCTTTTATTTGGAAAGAAATGTTTAAAGTTGCTCGTATTACTAAACATTTCATTTGTCGTATTACTAAACATTTCATTTGTTGGGATGTCGGTGAAGGAAATTGTAGTTTTTGGTATGATTGTTGGATAGGAGATGATCCTTTGGCTAATTCAGATTTGGGTCCTTTCGATATTAATTTTTCTATTAATAACTGCTGGAATAATGAACATTGAGATTTTCTTAAACTCTGTAGTTTAGTTGGGAAGGATCAAACAATTTTTATTGAAAAAATTCCTATTGCTAACGATATTGATAATATCAATATTAAAGTAATTATGGAGTTTCTATTTCTAAAACTTTTGCTAAATCATTATCTTATTCCAATGGTTTTGATTTATCTTGGGCTTGAAATTCTTTTACTAAGCCTTCTAAGTCATTTTTCATTTGGAGGCTTTTTCATCGCATCTACCAACTGATGATATTCTTAAACTAAAAGGTTTACGTCTTTCTTCTCGATGTTTTCCTTGTAAACAAGCGGAAGATAATTTGGAGCATATTTTTATTTCTTGTACCTATGCTAAGGAGGTTTGGACTTTGGAGTAATGTTTTCACCTTTTTTGATATGTCGATGAATGATGTAACTAATTTTTCCAGCAATGACTTCTTTAACTTTTTGAGATATGTTGATGAGAATATTTTTCTTACCTCTATTCCTACTATTGTTTGTTGATACCTTTGGTTTGCTAGAAATAAATCTAAACATAATGACAATTTGATTACTATTCATTCATGCTTTATCTGCATTACTAATTTTATTTATAATATACTTGGTTTTGTTAATTTTAAAAAACATTTGGGTTTGAAATTAAGAAACATATTTGCTAAAAGTAATATAAATATTCATTCTTATTGAAAGCATGTTACTAATTTAATTCGTTGGAATAAACCTTTGCGCGACCTTCTTAAAGTTAATATCGACGGAAGTTGAATAATTTTTTTGATGAAAATGGTGGAGTGTATTGTAATTTTGAAGGAAAATATATTTTCTGGTTTTCTGCTCATACTATCGTTGTATCTCCTATTTGTTCTGAAGCTGAAGCTGTTATAGTTACATTAACTTTATCTGTTAATTGCGGTTGACATTTGATTGATATTGAGATGGATTCTTTGGAACTTTGGAACTATTGTACTAAGAAGAAAATGTATCATTGAAGTCTTATTATCTAAATGAAAAAAAATATTTGCTCTCCTTAAGATTGTGCAAGGTAATTGATTATTTACATATCGCGAAGGAAACCAATGTGCAAATTGGGCTGCTAAGCGTGGATTGGAGAAACAAGACTTCATATTCTCGGTTCGAGTACCTCATGAGCTTTCAATTCTTATTCATGGAGATTGTTTAGAAATTCCTTATATTCGATGTGATAATATTTTTTAGATTTTTTTTTTTTTGCGTGAGTTGTACTTATTGATTGACGGTTTTTTTTTTCTTCGTGAGACTATCAATCACAAATCATGTAATCATTTCTTTATTGGAATAAAATTTCTTACAGGATTCATAAAAAAAATAAAATTGAGAGATGGTGTTGAATTATATTACTATTAATAGGTTTGACGACGGAAGAAGAGAAAATGTTATTTATTTATCACATTCAAACTCATATTTTTATTTATTTGTAATTGAAAGATAATAATAAAATAATAAATATTATTTAATATTTACAATCGTTACCTTAAGTTGTTTTAAGATTTGGACATTTGCATACGTACCATGAAACTCCTATGTAATTACAAATGTAATACCTAAACTATGCTTTATATATATATATATATATATATATATATATATATATATATACAAATAAAAAATACAAACATCTCATATATCTCGTTTTATATAT